TTTGAAAGATAAAGTGTATGATCAGAGATAAATACATACCCGCCTTTTCTAGTCCATAAGAGAGGCCACCACATCCAGCAAAAATATCTAGTGTAGCTAGACGCATCTCTTTAGGTGCCTCATCTGAGTTTCACAGAGTCAGTTTCACTCTCTACTCCTTTCCCCTTCTTTTCTCTTAGAAGTTTGTCGTCTTTAATAGTAGAGAACTTCAGCTTCATATTGGATTGACTGGTTAGCTTGATGTCTGGTTTTCTTGGCACAGAATTGTTAGCTTGATGATCATGTTTTGCTTAATGACTGGTTAGCTTAGCTTGTAGCTTGATGTCTGGTTTTCTTGGCACAGAATTGTTAGCTTCATGATCATGTTTTGCTTAATGACTGGTTAGCTTAGCTTGTAGCTTGATGTCTGGTTTTCTTGGCACAGAATTGTTAGCTTCATGATCACGTTTTGCTTAATGACTGGTTAGCTTAGCTTGTAGCTTGATGTCTGGTTTTCTTGGCACAGATTAATTGTTAGCTTCCTGATCATGTTTTGCTGTTGCAGATTCATTCAGACTCAAGAAATAGTCATTCTAAGGAGATAAGGTGGTTGGCATTTGGACCAAGAAATGTTGCTTTAGCACATAAAGGATTTATCGTTAATGGGCAACGGTTTCATACAGATGCGGTTAAGCGGAAGACACAAAACAGTGGCATAACTTATGAAGCATTTAGCATGTGTAGATCAAGTGCTCGAGATATGAGACAAGTCGCTAATGTGCTTACATATTATGGAGTGATAAAGGAGATTTTACTTATGGACTATGACATGTTCAAAGTGCCGCTGTTTAGATGCAATTGGGCCAACACAGGGAATGGTGTGAAGGAGGAAGATGGTTTCACTCTTGTTAACCTTCATATGAACCAAACAGCCTATTTGAAAGATCCATTCATTCTACCTTCTCAAGCAAAACAGGTTTTCTATTCTAGGGAAGATGATAATTCAAATTGGTATGTTGTTATGAGAGCACCAGCTAGAGGCTATCATGAATTGGAAACAGAAAAGGATTTAGGTGGTGCACCTTTGCCTGTACAAGAAGTCGATGATTTGGATGATGAAGCTTTTGATGATGATAGTGCTTATGTTAGGGATGATTGTGAAGGCTTGTTAGTGGTAGATTGATAGGTATGTTTGTGGTTGTTGTAAACAATGAAAATTGAAATGGGTTATTAAACATTTTAATGGTATTTTTGTTTCTACAAATATTCGAAATTAATTTTTTTTTACAAATATTATATTTAAATTAAAATATAATTCGTAATTATTTATTATTTTGAATAATTTAAAAACAAACTAATAACACAAAACAGATGCTATCTTTGCTATAGGTAAAATCTAATTAACGAGTTTTAATAACATCTTTATCATGCTATTATAAAAATTAACAATTGCACAAAAGACAACGCTATCGTTGTATACTTAACTATTGCACAACTAAAAACCGCTATCAAAAGTGTCCGACTTTCTATAACGGGCGATGTCAGAGCGCTTAAGGAAACGCTATGGTAGATGAATAATTGCGTTTTTCGGCCGCTATTAATACCCACATTTCCTGTAGTGAAAGAATCAAAAAACAAACTAAAAGTTATGAAATCTCACATCAATGTTTCCAATGGCCACTTGCGTTAAAAGCAAATAAGAGGATAAATAGAGAACTATATGTAAACTCATTGTTATTTTATTTATATTTTCCCATTTATAAATATCGGTATATATACTGATTTGAGTCAAAGATTAATAAATTTATTGCTATTTTGACTAATAAATTTATTTCTATTTTAATATCGGTATATATACTGATTTGAGTCAAAGTCTAATAATTTTTTTTTTTTTTCAGCAAAAGCCTAATAAATTTGTTTCTAGTTTGATTAATAATTTTTTTGCTAGTTATATCAAACTTATCAAAGACTTCAAGTACAAAAAATGTATTGCAAGCTAAACAAACCACAACACATATTTTGGACTCATCTCCACTAATGGCCCAATGAGTAACCAAAACCCAAATACTATGTGGGCTTTAACTCCAGCCCAAGCCTTCTTAATTGTGACAAAAACACACAATTCTCTTCGTTAACTTTCTTCTTCTTCTTCTTCTTCAGTCACGAGACTTTGTTTCTTCTTTGGCTCCTCTTCTAGTGAACACTTCTCTTCTTCTTTGCTCTTGTTCTTCTTCTCATTAAAGCTTTTTCTCTTTTGCAGGTTTAATCAAGGACTGAATTCCCAACGGTATCGTTAGTTTTTACCGAGGTTTTCTTACAATGTCTTAATCATATTATCTTCTTGTGAAGTTCCGCGTCCTATGGACGAGGTTTGGTTGCTCATAAGTCATAACAATGGATCCGATACAATGTGAGTTTATTTCAACAGCTCAGGTTTCATTATTTACAAAAAAAAACATCTTTATTTAATTCAAAATGACAACGTAAGTTTTATTAATCACATAAACATATAGGGAACTGCAGACTTCATCCTCTACACAATGGACAACTAGAATGCCATCTAGTTATACAACTAAAATGGAACAGGTGACCGCATTCCAAATTGGCCAGTGGAAGTCTAGCTGGCTAAATTCTTCAAGACATATGGCGCATTAATCCCCAACTTCGAAATTGAAGTTCTCGATAGCAATAGGTGAATATCTTGGAACTGTATGTTCAACCTGAGGGACGGTAACAACCCGGACTTAAGAAGGAGGGTTCTCACCGGGGAGATTTCACCGGAGAAACTCATCACATTGTCTGCTGAAGAAATGGCAAGCGACAAGAGGAAACAAGAGAACAATCATATCAAAGAGAAAGCCCTGTTTGATTGCGAGCGTGGTCTTGCAGCAAAAGCATCTACCGAACAGTTCAAGTGCGGGCGGTGTGGTCAACGCAAATGCACCTACTATCAGATGCAAACAAGAAGTGCTGATGAGCCAATGACGACCTATGTTACATGTGTTAACTGTGACAACCACTGGAAGTTCTGTTAAGGAGATCTTTGTGTGTCTTTGTATTTCATGAGACCATGTTAAGACATAGAGGCTCTGATTGATTAATCAGGAGCTTCATGTCCATTTGCCATCATTCCGTGAATGTTCCGGCTCCGATGTTTGTTTTAAGGATATCATTCAATGTCTTAGAGATTAGTAAGTAAGGGTATTTACTAATTTAGGTGTTTGTAGCTCTTATTTCTTTTGCTTCTCTTCTTCCAAACTGTCAACTCAACTTTCTTGCAGATTTTACCAAGTTTTGAAGTTTATTTAGTTGAAGAACTTATAAGTTGAAAGAATTCTTATTTTTGTATGTTTTTTTTTTTTTTTAATGTTTTGATGAACTTGTTCTTCCATTCCAATCGTTCCAAAAATCCAAACTTTTAAAGCGTATTCAATCAAACGAATCTCGTCCTAGACATATCTTGGTCATCCCAAGAAGAAGAGAAAAAATTATGGTCAAGCAACTAAAAGTCTAAACCCATTTTAAAATTCTAGTGTTGATATATGAGATGAGAATTATACTATATTGATCACTTGCCCAATTAAAAAATATCGTATAGAACAGTCAAGTCAACAGGAACGGGAAGAGGAAGAAAAAAAAATAATGACACGTCAGCAGGAGGCGATTTTCTAAGCGACTAGGGTTTTTTTGTCGTTGGTTCCACGCAAGAAGGTTTTCAGGCGGTCAGCCGCCGGGTTTTTCCAGGATGGTGGACATTGTAGGAGAGGTGGCAGTGTCGGGTTCAAGCCAATCGAAGGAGGTTCCAAGTCCAAAATCGTATGCGAATGTTGTTGGTAGCAGACCTAGTCTTGCTAAATTTGATGTGAATGTTTCAACAGTTGATGGCAAGGCCACGGTGGCCGTTCCGGATACAATTTTGGATGATTCTGTTCCCTTGTGGGAGGATTTCTTAATAGGTAGATTCCCAGGTACAGCTCCCCATGTAGCGAAGATCCATGTCATAGTTAATAAGATATGGAACTTGGGTGATAAGAGTATTAAGATTGACGTTTATGAAGTAAATTCCACCACTGTGAAGTTCCGGATCCGTAACGTCTCCGCGAGGATGCGTGCGCTGAGGAGAGGCATGTGGAATATCTGTGAGCAGCCAATGATGATGTCGAAATGGACTCCAATAGTGGAGGACGCTCAACCAGAGATTAAAACGATGCCTTTGTGGGTCAAAATAAAAAATGTTCCGTATTCGATGTTTACGTGGCCTGGTCTGAGTTTTCTTGCAAGTCCTGTGGGTGAACCGAAGAGGCTGCATCCGGACACGGAGCTGGTCACAAGTTTTGATGAAGCAAAGATCTTTGTTGAAGCTGACTTGTCAAAAGAGCTACCAAAGATTTACTATTTCCAAGTCAGAGGAGAAGAAATATGCGTTGAATATGAATACCCTTGGCTACCTCAAAGGTGTGGGTTTTGCAAGAAGTGGGGTCACCCAGATGATGGTTGTATGGCTAAAATTGGTCGAGTTGGATCCCCTAGAGCTTCTGGATCCCCGGTGCCTAGTTCGGAGCTGCGAACGGACGCTTTGAATGTAGCAGTCAATGCTACAACAACAGTCAATGCTACAACAGCAGTCACAACAGCAGTCAATGCTACAACAGCAGTCAATGCTACAACAGCAGTCACTTCAAATGTTGTTGTTGAGCAAACTGTAAGGGAGACAAAGAACACAGGTGGAGAAGAGATCACACGGGTGGAGGGAGACAAAGAACACGTTGCGGACTCAACGGTTGGCGAGGCTGTGGAAACAAGATCCCCTGTTTCACAAGGGTTGAAGGAACTCGATCAAATTCAAGAAGTAAAATGGCAAGATGTTCCTAACTCAGGAGGAAAAAGCTCAAAAGCTTCGGGTAAAAGTCTGGTTTATGGTCAAGTTCGTATAATTTCTCCTACCCGGTTTGATATCTTGAGGGATAACCAAGAGGAAGGTGAATTTCTTCAAGAAATAAATTCTGAAAAGTCGTTGAAAATGGAGGCTGCAGTGACAACTCAGAAAAATTCATCAAGTCAAGATTCAACGGGTTTGCGGGTGCAGCTACCTCGCGATTCAAAAAACTCTCACAAGTTTCTATCTGAAAATTCTCAAAAAGCAAGGGCTATGGTCTCAAGCAATCTCAGAAGAAAGAATTCCAAAGCCAAACATTGATGTCAGGTTTCTTTTGGAATATTCGAGGTCTCAATAAGCCTAAAAAGCAACGTGTTGTTAGAGAGTGGATTCAGAAGAATTCTTTTCAATTTGGATGTTTACTTGAAACAAAAATTAAAGAAAACAGAGCTGTTGTTGTGAAGGAGAGAACGTTTGGAGATTGGAGGTTTGAGAGCAATTATGAATTCAGTAGATTGGGAAGAGTATGGGTGACATGGTGTAAAGACACTAAATTGCAAGTTGTGTTTAAAAGTGGGCAAATGATTACTTGCAATATCAAGTTGCACGGAGTAGAAGAGGAGTTTTGGTGTTCATTCATATATGCTTTTAACACACCAGAGGAGAGACAGGAGCTATGGAGAGATATTCAACAGCAACACGACCTTGCAGTGATCCGAGGCAAGCCATGGTCTGTATTGGGTGATTTTAATGAGACGTTAGACCTTGAGGAGCATTCAAATTCTGCTATTAACCCCATGGTTTCGTCGGGGATGAGGGATTTTCAAGAAGTTGTACGGTCCTGCTCTTTTTTAAACATGAGAACTCATGGTCCTATCTTTACTTGGTCCAATAGACAAGAGAATGGAATCATTTGTAAGAAGCTTGACAGAGTGCTACATAACGATACATGGCTTAGAGAGTTTCCACATGCTTATTGTGTAATGGAGGCTGGGGGGTGTTCGGACCATCTCCGGGGTAAGTTTTTCTTGGATTCCGGAATTCAGAAACCGAAAGGGCCATTCCGGTTCTCAAATGTAATTGCGTCTCAACCGGAGTTTCTTGTTCAAGTGGAGGATTATTGGAGAGATTCTCAAGCATTGTTTCATTCTACTTCAGCATTGTTTCGCTTCTCAAAGAAACTGAAGTTTCTCAAACCAATTCTACGGGATCTAAGTCGTAACACTCTGTCAGACATTTCACAAAAAACTGCAGAAGCTTTTGAAGAGCTACGTGTGCGGCAGTTGAGCACCCTATCAAACCCATCACCGTTAGAAGTTGCCGCCGAGTCCTCCGCTGTGGAAAGATGGGAGAAACTAGCGGGTCTAGAGGAGGGTTTCCTTAAACAAAAATCTAAATTGCATTGGCTAAATATAGGGGATAAGAACAACAAGACGTTCTACAATGCTATCAAGGAAAGAAATGCTCAAAACTCTATTCATGAGATTTCTGATCCAAATGGCAATTGTCTAAATCATATGGAGGATATAAAGGCAGAAGGTGTCCGTTTTTTCTCGGAATTATTGACACACATGCCCTCGGATTTTATTGGTATGGAGATTGATGCTCTTCGGGAGCTGCTTCCTTTTCGTTGCTCTCTTGAACAGAGAGAGAAGT